ATATATATATATATATATATATATATATATATATATATATATATATATATATACACCCTAATTTATATATTACTATGAAAATTTAATTACCTTGTAATATGTAAAATCGTCGTTTTTATTGTTTCACAATGAACTCGGTGCGTCAAACCAGAATTGCAGGCTCATCAGCTTCGAGGGCAGACAAGGAGACAAAAGAGGCACCACTAATTGCCGCTATCGCGCGAGTGCGATTCTTCACGAGCATTTATCACTGAAGGAAGTTTTGGGGTGTGCCTCCAGGCGAAAAGTTGAAAGAAGGGATCCGGAAGACGAAACTGGCTGCCTCCTCAAGGTCTCTTTGTCTCTCTCCCTCTCATTCGAAAATGGCACTACGTGGAAAGAAGAGAGAGAGATAAAAGGGAAAGGAGAGGGAATGAAGGGAGAGAGAAGAAAAGGGGAGAGAGAGAGAGAGAGAGCCGGGATTGGTATCGAAGCGATATATCTCGGGATTGGCTTCGCAGTGGCGGATAGTCTGCATCGAAGCAACGATAGGGGAAAGGGGTGCCACCTTGATAAACGAGCCCATAAATAACAGTAACGTCTCCACCGAAAACTCGGCCGGGTAAATGTATATCCAGAGCCAGCAGCAGCCAACGGCAGCGGTGGAACAGCAGCCAGCCAGCGGTTGAGGGAGTCGCAGACTCTTCGGGTGGTGGGGTAATTTAAGATCCTATTGAGATATTTATGGGATCATAAAGCGGAACTGGCTGCTTCTATCGCCGGCAGCCATGCGTGGAGCCGCGGTCCCGCGATCCTCGGTAGTTTGTATCTTTGTTTATAACCGCCTTAGCCGCGCGCCGTGTTTCACTTTATTTCGGTACGCTCGATCAAGTAAGTTGGGATCGTCGGGACAGTACAAACAGAATTTATTAGAAGACGAGTGGATCTCGTGTATTGACGTGATGTACCATTTCCACCTTGTTTTCGACCACTGAAGTTTAGACTATGCACTTTGGCATGCAATTGGATGTTTATTCCAATCACATTGGATGAAAGATAGCATATGTTAAATGCTCACATCTTATTTATAATATAAACAAAAAACAATTGAAATAACATGGCAAAAAGTCAAAAACATAACAACGTAGTATCGAGAATTCATTTTATGCCAATAATAAATAATAAATTATGTTCTTCATCGTGTAGAGTCATGGCAACTGTCAAGTTGTTATTTACTGGAGATATACTTTCAATCGTGTAGAAAACAAAAATTATCGATGAAAACAGGACATTCCAGAAATGGCGAATTTTAAGGATGTCGAATCTCCGTCTATCTTTCTCTCCATTACCGTCCAAAGGAACCATGCTTGTCGCATCCAAACTGTGCCGAGGAAGCGCTTTACGGCAATAAAGAGTGTTTGTCCGTGTGGGCTTCGTGTTGGTAACGAGCGGATTATACTCCCGACGTAGTATCAGATGGTCCCGTACCTGGTTCCATGGTTGTTAATTAGGATGGATGCCCACGCCTTGGGCGACTTTTACGAGCGGATACGGTGCGAACCGAAATAGCGCATCCGATGTTAACGCGCCTACCTTCCTTCGGCGAATTGCGGTAAGCATCTCGATAAGAAGAAAATACTAAAAAGACTCTGTGAAAGGTCTACTTAAAATTATTTAGATGAGTATCAAAAATCGCACAGTGAATAACCTATACTGAAAAGGGAACTGCAACTTTTTAGTCTAAACCAGAGATGCTTTAGTTGTCGTTGCGTAGAATTTGTTAAAGGCTTATTTATGGCTTATTTCTGCAAATTACTACTTCAAGATGATATTAAACTATAAAATTAGAAATTTCACGAAAGTGCGCAATTATTACGAGCAAAATAAAATTAATAAAAGTGATAAAGTGATACAGATAACACGAAAGTAACACAAACATATATTAGACATACTTAATGTAGTATTTTATAATTTAACAGTTTTTTTGAGGTAACACACAATACTTCTCCTAATTGAATTGCTTCTGAAAGAGTATTTCCGTGTTGCCAGAAAAGTTAGTAGAAGCTGCACATTTCGTGACCTGACGAAATACGTCGCGGATAAATAAGATGCATCGCTCTGCGAGCCGTTGCATTGGAGCACGCATAAAGGAAGATCAATGCGACGGCATTGTCGAGCAGGGATATATACGAGGGATTTTCACGAATCGCGAGGTACGAGGTAACGCAGCAGTAAATCAGCATCAATCGTAATTTTTAATCCTTCGGCAGATCGACGAGCCGATTCCATTCGACAAGGCCCAAAGAGTAACGAGGGAGACGATATCCTCCAGTATGAAAGCGCGTTGGTTGTCTGTAGTAAATCAACTGTCCTATTCTAATCTTTGTTGGCACCAACGATAACGTCTGGTGGCCGCTGCCTACCTTGCCTCAGGTATCTATTCAAATTATCGACCACGAAAGTTGTTTTTTTTTTTTATTAGAACCAATTCTCTTGCTTCGGAATCAGCTATCTAACGTATGACCTTATCTTACACGTTTCTAATACATGATATAACGAATCTTATAACCAAAATTATATACAAGTTTGATTGAAACTGTTATCTGATAAGGCGGATTTTTATAACACAGACAAACATGCAGTATGTGTGATTTCTGGGTAAATAGTCCAATCGAAAGTAACGTTGGTGTTTTACTACGGAATGAAATATTTTTTCATCGGTTCGTTGGACGACTTGGCCAGAGTTAAATCGCTCGGAAGATCGACGAGGCTGCGAGAGTAACGAACGGGGCGATACCAGGCGTATTCCTCGAATGAAATCGCGTCGCCTGTCCGTAGTAAATCAACTGTCCTATTCCAATCTTTGTTCGCGGTGCTGGCAACAGCCAACGGCAGCCGCCTGCCTGCAGCCGTTGGCTCTATCTATCGATGCAGGAGAGAAGTAATCTGGTGAGTCGTAAAACGTGTCAGAATGTCCAACAAACACCTACTCATTAGCCCAGGTAGGCTGGACCGTGGCAGGCGGGATTGCACAAGCACGCATTAACTCCGTGTGGGTAAGTTATGGTCCAGGGAGAGCATAATTCACCCGTAGCCAAGAAAGTGTGGGTTTACTTCTCTCGGACCTGCTTGTGTGAGGGCTTGGCTCCTCGTTATTTTATCGGGTGTCGGCGGCCTTCCGAGTCCCCTACCTAATTGAAATCCACGAAATCAAATTCGGAAAAACCGTCGTGCCGCAACACGTCGAACCTTTTCACATTGACGAATAGCTTATTATTTATCGTGAGCAAAGTGACATTGTATCAATCGACAGCGGAAAGTTCCAAGCGGAAATATAATAAGAAAGTCATTTCAAATCAATTTAAAGCACTCTGTATTATAACAATACACGAAAGCCTGTGTAGCTCAACGCAGAATTTTTTGTTAAACGTAAGTTGTAAAATTCCAATCATAGCGAAGTTGGGTATATTATGTCTTGGAAGTCGGAAGAAATCGCATTGATAATCTTATCGCATGTCACGCAGAGTCACGCTAGTTCGATTTTGCTTAGAGTAATGAAAGATTTGCGTTCAGACACGGGTGATAAATCTCCGGAATCAGGTTCAGCTAGAAAAGAACAGCCGATCACCGTTGGATCGGTTTCCAAGAGATACACGCGTGTATCTCGTAAGACCCTCTCACCAGGACACCGCGGTGTTCCTGTAACCAACTTGCATTTCTACACGCGAAGATGTGCTTGTAGAATGGATGGGGAGAGATGTGCGTTGGTATTGGTGAAACAGTGCAGGAAGCTGCAACAGCACGGTGGTGCAGCCGCCTCGTACGAGACCAGATAGACATCTTCGCCAACTCTCCCGCCGCCGTCTAACTAATTGGCTACTGAATTACTGGGCGACATGACCAGTTATTGCTTCGTACCTCACCTCGACCGGGTATATCGGATCTTGGATCTTGCAGTTTGAGGAGTACAGGCCGTATTCCCGTTCTCTTCCATCTTGCGCTCTATCCTTACATTAATGACGACTCGTAATACAGCGTTGATCTCGAAATCTCCATTCGTAATGGGTCTGCCGAGTCGTTCTCTTTTAGTACATCGTACATATTTATCTAAGTATTTGCATGAGTTAATTCTTTGTGATTTTCATAATACTTTCAATCATTTTTTTCGTTGTTGTATTTCTCTTCTCTTTTTGTAATTCTATTTTGTGTTCTATGACGATTAGGCATTCTTTGAAAAAATTATATTGTAAGGTGGATATAGTTTGAAACGTTTGAAAATATTTTGTAAACGTTTTAATGTCTTGTATGTATATTAAATGCTGGAACATACAAGTATCTAAAATGTGGTGATGAATAACGAGTTGTAAGGAATCTATCAGTATCCGATGCAGACTCGTTGTCTCCTATGCGAGTGTTTCCGTACAGCGAGTTAAGGTACCGGTACAAACCGAGCTACCCTTGGGTGATATATGACTTTGTGGGTGCTCGTGCGATACGCTGGCACTAAAAGGCTTAACGAGCATCTTCGTACGCCACGGCAGTCCAGAGTAAACAGGACGTGGCTTATCTTGTCACGAAAAATCTGCGGAGAAAGGCTTCCGCAGGCTGACTCTTATTTTTCTCTCCCCATTTTCTCACTCCTTCTTTTTTCATAATACCATGGCAAACAGGCGCGATGAATGGTCACGCTGGGGATTCAGCCTACTTCGAATTTTTGTTGCGATGGTCGATAAAAGTGGCTACGGTTGTGTTAATGGTTATGAGATTTTAATGTGTATGCTTAATGTTTATCAGTTTCAAAATACAGGATTATTTGAACCCGTTTTTGCATTCAAATCACTTTGCATTTTCACAGTACATTTTCACAGTATTTTCTAAATTTTAATTGCGTACTCTTAACAGTAACTACTTTGTCTACATGGGAACATCGGCTTTGTAGTCTTTCTAACGTTTTGCGTTGTAATATTTTGTTAAAAAATGTAATAAAAGTTACTAATATATTTATTGATACAAATAACATTTATGAGCGCGATATGTTTAGTGATCAAGTATATATTATCATCTTTCGCACTCCTAGTTAATATGTTTATATTAAGTCAATATATTAGACAAAAGGATTATGATATGACTCGGTTATTTGACAACGCTGGTAGCGATAGCTGCAAAGAACTTATTTGTTGCAATTCAAATCAACATCCATATCATTTCAGGTAACTTCGTTACCTCTCGCATTTCTCTTTTTTTCCTTCTTCCCTCTCTCCCTCTTTTCCTTTATCGCATCTCAATCATGGGTCTTTGCAGGAAATTATTAATTCGAACGCTTCATTATCTCTTAATAAAGCAACACGTATCGCGACGAGTGTTGAAGGAGACGTCGTTAGGCTAATTACTGCTTTGCCTTGGGTATCAGACACACGACATTTCATGTTACACCTGGTACTTAGTAGCGATGTATCGTAAGATTGGAAAACGAATGATTTTTAAAACGTATATTTTTACATATGTACATATATATACGTCTATAATTTTGAAAACACAGAATTTAAATAATAAAAAACTACAGCGTGGCATAAAGCACAGCGAAAGATTTTTTCAAGTATATCTGCAACCAAATAATGTTCCTATAAATTACTTTGCGAAGTAATGAAGCATGAGATGGAGCGAGACAGAGTATGCGTCAAAAGACATGTTTAAAAAAAATGTCCGTGATGCGTGTAAATTATCAGCCAAGAAAATATAACAACATACATATGTTGCTTTCTTGTAACATTGTACTGTAACGTACGTAGTAAATTGTGCGGTAAATAGTATGTAACAGCGCGCAGTAAATTGCCACGGCCATATAATACTGCATTCGACACTCACACAAATTTCTCTTTCGCCCACTCGTGGAAATGTCGATACCAGTAGGATGCTTACGTCATGGCGCGAAAGTAAATTACATTAAAAATTTTGCACGCCCGCCGGCTCTCCGTTTCAACAGTCCCGGCAAATAGTTATCGCGGCTTCCATTTTGTCGATGTTGTCGATTTCAATCGCAAATATCAAGTGCCACTTTTTTTATCACCGCGAGCCCGCACTGCAAATTACGCGATATCTCTCGTGAGTGTAGATGTATTTCAGTTTTCAGGCATTTCACCATGCGATCAATATAGTGGTTTTATGCCGTTTTCCTCACGATTGTATACTCCCTTTATTTCACCAAACCTATTTGGTTCAAGTTTTTATGAATCTATTTACGTGATGTAGAATTTATTCTGAATTAAATTTACATATCATTAAATTCTGTATTGATATTACAGTTATGTGTAGAGAAAAATATTTACTTTCATATATGAAAATATATCTTCAAAGGAACACTATGTACGAATTTGCTCGTAGTTTCTATTTAGCAGCATCTTTGCTAAAAGGCAATAACTACTATTATCAAAGTATTTGTTTTCTTTGAAACAAGACTTCAGTCAAGACTCTTCAACAGTAGCGTCGGTACAAGAAAAGAATGGATATCAGGCTTTGAGATGGGAACCACTGTCGAGCCACCTGTGCGTCAAGCTTGGGTGTATCCATGTTATAAATCCGGCAGATAATGACGACATGTTTATACTCTTCATTTGTATGCTAGGCGAGGAACTGTTCCTGGCCGCACACCGAAGCCAGTCTGACTGCTCGAATGCTTGGCTCTCTTGTCCCGCATTGGCGTAGTTACGTTCCGTACTAGCTCTGCCGTTCAACGAAAATTTATGTATCCTCGACTGTACGATGCATTACAGTTATTCTCACTAGGCATCTACTGCAACTACTGCCATGACGAGATCGGATACCGCTAAGATGCTCAAATGGAACCATTTGTATAGGTGACGTCTTAAGTTTTTCCCTAATGCAGATTCGTTATGTTAATGTTATATATAAATTACATTTCATTTATGTAATGACCACAGTTTTATCGTTGCGTCATGTGTCATAAAGACGGCTGATCTAAATCTATACTTTTTGATTATCATCATGAGTGCGTTGACTGGCATTATTTTCTTAAGATTCGACAGAATGAATCATATCATTTTCGTGAAATCTTAATACTTCAGAGATATTTTTGAACAGGCATTGCAATTTATAACATGAGGATTGAGATGCTTTAAATTATCCAAAGAATAGAATTATTAACTCGTAAGGATATATTGTTTATGGTAATTTGTGGTAATCGAGGAAACGTATCTTGTTTCGTAGAAATTGCATAATTCGTCATTTTGAGTAAACGTTGCAGTCAGCAGATATTGCAGGAGTAAAAGAAAATCGGCGCTTGAAAGCGCAAGAAATTATTTTCAACTAATAGCAGTTTATAAATCTTGAAGGCGGTCGCGGCCGGTGGCGAACCGAAAACGCGGGGCGGCATTCTCGATTCCACCTCGCCACAGTCGCAACCAAAGCCGCAACTGGCGCGCGGTATATCGCGGGAGAGGTATTTTTCCTCTACACACAACACCGGCGACCATAAAGCACGAGATTCGTGCCTCGGCGTAAAATAGCTTTATTATACAAAATACATGCAAATTATCTTATTTATGGTTATGGCCGCTAATTATATTGCGTGCTTATACACAAAATGTCAACGTGGCCGGAGCCGCGGCGCGGACGCGTAATACGTTTGACTTTTTACGAGGCAGCTGGATGCTTCGTATATACGTAGAGGAAGGAGAGGGGGTTATATATACGTTACGTATACATTTACTCGCTTAACGATCGCAAAATACCGACAGTTACGCTCGGTATGTATCGCAATATACGGACATTATCGGGAACAATATTGCTGGAAGAAAGGGAGAGGGTGGATAAATGAAGACTAGACGTGCAAGTAATGGCACATCGTGCGAAAATTAAAAATTTAATATGAGTAATGAGTCGCTACTAAATAAGAATCTAATCATAAGAAATAACTGAAATCTGCATACGTATTTATCTAAAAAATATTTTTATGTGTGTAATTTTTTACGTTATGTACTTTGTGTCGTCAATATGCAGTTGAATAACTCTGAAATTTCTATAATATATTATGCGCAACACGATATTAGTATACCTCTTTTGTAAGGAACAGTCATCAGGATGACTCAAGTTATCGGCAAAGTGACGAGTAGACACCAACATACTTCAGAAATGCAATTTATGTAGAAATCCAAGTTTAAATAAATATGTGAACTTGATAAATAGTAAGGTTATATCCACTAGATAGCACACATATATTACTAGATTTCTGCCCTGAAAGATTTTTCTTTGACCGAAAGTACCACCATATAGCGGACAACTGTTACCAACTTAAACTTAATTGCGCGGGATATACAAAACAAAGATAATATTGCAGACATAGATCTCAATACAATCTTAACACGAGACATTATACTTTCACAAAGTTGCTTACATCTGTTTTATCTCCACAGCACGTATAAGCATTTATCAAATCTAAGATTGATAAGCATCGCGTGAATAAATCGCAATCCTTGAGAAAAGAATGTCAGGCTCGGCAACAGGCTATATTATTATCTTTGATTCTCAATCTGATTTTGTCTTTTTTCCCCTCTCTTATTCACTGCTATCTCAACGCAGCTAATAATTCTGTCATGTTGTAATTATATATTCAGACACGTAGTAGTGTTAAAGCTAGGAGGTTTTTCCAATTTCAGCGCCTTCGTATATATTATACGTTAACAATCGTTGTGTGACTTAAACTCAGCTTTGCAAAGTTCAAATTTTTTCAAGGAATTGCGATAAGATCAGCAATAAGGGGATGCCGGAGCGAGCGACAAACTTAATAAGCGTCGATAACGTAGAGCGATCATCAAAAAGTAGAAACGGTTATCATCATTTACCGACGATATCGAATTTATGTACACATAGATACTTATGGAATAAAGATGATCGTCAAATAGGCGCTAACATGATACCGCTCTCATCTTTTCACAGATGTTATGCAAGTGTGTGTGCTACGTTGTTATTTCAATTTTCTTACTCATACAGGGTGCGGCGCCAAAATCCGGACAAAATTCAATTTGAAATTCTCGCCGTTCTATACCACTGGTAGATGTCACGATTAGCGTTCAAATAGCTTGACGCATGTACTAAACCATCATAACCTCGAAACAGTCGCAATGTTGAAACCAAGTGCGGAGTATAACCGAAGAGCCGCGATTATCGAAAGTGTTCGCGCTGGGCGCTCGGCGACAGAAATCATTCGGCTCTTCGGGTACCCGAGATCGACTGTGTATAATGTCATCGCAAAGTACAATGAGTCGGAGAAGTCCAACGAAGGTTTTGCAACACCGGCGAGGAAAACCCACTCGAAGGAGCGCGTTGTCAGGACGCCTGACATCATTCAACGGGCTCAGGAGCTGATTTTTGAAGATCCAGGGCAGTCGATCCGAAAATTGTCGTCGGTTGGTGTGAGCGAGAAACTGTATCGTCTGGAAAGCCGTATGTTTTTCAGTGTGGCCGCCCACACAAGTCATTTGGTGCAAAATTGATTGTCGGACAACGTTGACATGTTTTGGTCGAAAGAATTCTGGCCTCCCAACAGCCCAGGATTTGAATCCTTTGGACTTCTATGTATGGAGCGTAGTTGAAAGGGTCACGAACAAGTCCAAACATCCAAGCGTCGCATCATTGAGAGCCGCTATTGAAGCGGCATTCACCGATATGGACCGTGACACATTAAAGCGCGCCTGCGCACGTTTCAGACCGAGAATGGAGGCGGTCATTCAAGCAAACGGGGGATATATTGAGTAAATGTGTTCTTTATGGCCTTATAAACAATGTGGTTAAAAAAATGTTGTAAACCTTTTCGTTTTTGCAATAAAAAATGTTTGGAAAAAATGTATAATTTGTCCGGATTTTGACGCCGCACCCCGTAGACGTTACATAAATGTGAATGCCACGTTGCCGATATTCGCATTCTCTCTAAAATAGGCTCTTGCTACTTTTCTGATGAATTCTTTAAACCGCTTGTGTACTGGGTGCATCAAAGAAAGAGTTTGTAGAAAAGAGTGCTGTAGGCGCAAACGTAGTTTGCGAATAATTTTTTTGAAGAACACGTTACCTATTATTTGAGTTTTCAATATAATTAGCATCGGTAATTTGAGATATCATTTTTATTTCGCACTGACCAATGTTATACTTTATTTTCGCACCTAATTTTATCATATAAATTGGAGCAGTCAGAACGCTGTAATTTTTTAAAAATGAAATCAGTGTTACGATAGCAATAGTTTTATATCGTTTTCATCCTTGAGGCAGGAATGCCCTATTTTATTTATGCATGTACTTTTACTATACAAAAACATTTTTAATTTAGTCAAGTCAACACAAAGTAAAATTTGTTGGGAAATGTCGTTGACGTGATATCGACGTGACTGCGTCTGCTCTATTGGATCTCTGTAATAGAAATTTAATTTAATTTAGTAATTAAATAATTTAGTATCAATTAGTTATACATGCGACGACAAAACGAGAAAAAGAAATTATAATGGCACGCTCGAGTTCCTTCCCAATACACAATAAAAAATAA